GAGCCGCCAAACGAAAAACCGTCAATTCCCGCGCCAGTGAGTGCCGCTGTCGCTGTCAGTACTCTGAATGTGGAAAACGCAAGCACGTCGACACAGCCGCGCGTGCTAGTACCAGCCGCCAACGCTACGAGGCGTACCGGTAGCCGTCGCACCTTCATCACGCTCACTTACATTCTCGTCTCGTTCCTATTTTGCTGGGGAAGCTTTTTCGTCATGTTTGACATGAAAGCGGTGGATCCGAACAGCATTTCAGACACGACCTACACGCTGCTGTTATGGCTGTCATTTTTTAACAGCACATTGAACCCCGTTCTGTACGGTATCAGTAATCCGGAATTTCGAAAGGCTTTCCGTATGATTCTACAGCGAAAGTGATTGCGTGAGTACTTTCATGTAGTATATTGATGAAATCCGTCAGAAAGAGGTTTGCTAATGAAAACCTCAAATTTGAATCTGGGATGAGAAATTGAGCCGGGAGAAAAGCGGGGGGGGGATGATAAAGGGGAGAATGCATTAGGGAAGTTCATGGCGTCGATGGCGTTTCATGTTATTCTAGTTTCTTAATTTAAGGTTAAAATACTGATCCGCAGCTGCCGGTGATACTGTAGTGTGACTATCGTACGACACTAACAATCTTTAGCTGCTGAGACTTCCTCCCCCCGTGATATTCTCACCCCCTGCCAGGGTTCGAGTCGTTCGACACTATAACGCTAGTCCGTTAGTCCAAGACTAGTAAAAAATAAGAAGGACTAGTAAATGCCCCATAGCCGTTAGTCCTGCGGACACTTATTTAAGTGTCAGTGTGCAGCGTGAGCAATAGCCGCCGCCAGCGTTTGTTGCACATGAGCATTTGGATGGCATTTACAGGAAATTGTCGGCAATAATAGGTGAAAGAGAGTATAGAATTAGAAACATTAAGACTGGTAGTAAATAGTTTTTCATAAATCTATTTACTACCAGTCTTAATGTTTCTAATTCTATACTCTCTTTCACCTATTATTGCCGACAATTTAGTAGGCCAACCGGGAATAAACCCGACCAACGACCCGTAGGATTATAGAGCGGTCCCTCTTGTAGGGCCACGTGAAAGCTGAAACGTCTGTATACTATAACTTCACTATACTCGGTTATACTTTCTGGCGATTTTTTCTGTATGAGAAAACGCAGGTGTAGTACCTTACATATCCCCTAGCTTATATCTTGTATGGGGTATCTCTTATGTACGGGGGCACATCTCGCTACAATCGCAGCAGATCTATTACCAATGTTTACCTATCGATCGGTGTTGTTTGTTCGTGTTCGTCCCCGTGTCTGTAGCAGTGGCATCAGCTGGTGTTGAACAAAAGAGCATTCGCACGACTATTATTGAAATAGCTTCATCGTATCCGGTCTGTAAACAGAGTGAAGAATGATAGCTTTCGTGCAGTGTATCGGATCCCGTTGTCGAAGAATACGCTGACATGAATGCTCTATTGTTGCCGTCATTTATTCGTGTAATTTGAAGAGAATGGGCCTTCAACATGAAAGTTATTAATTACCTCCGCGCAAACGGAGGTCATGCAATCGCTCGCGTGTGTGTGTGTAGCCACCGCGCGATCGATAGCGCGTCGAGTCAGCGAACCAGCATCCAACTAGCAATCTTCACGCTCATCATCAACACAGAGATTCTCTCAATGTAACAGTGAGGTTGTGAGTGAGTATAGGTAGTGAGTGAGTAGTATTGTGAGTGTACAGAGATGTAGAGTGAGTAGGGAGTAAGTGAGTAGTAGGTTGTGAGTGAGTGAGTGAGTGAGTGAGTAGGGTCATACACTTACCTGAGGTGAGGTCCAAAACACGTGTCATTACTGTCGTGTTCGTCCTGGACATGATCTCTATCCTTTAACCTAACTGTGTACTATATAAAATTGCCATGTATTTGTCCATGTCGAAAAGCAAAACAAGGTTCATACCGCACACATGTGTAATCGTTGTAACATATCTTAGCGCAAATAATACTATAGTGTGCAATGATATTATAACAAAGTCGCTGAAATGGACCAGTGCGGTCGCATTTGACACGAAAATTCACAAAATCTCCCTTCCTTCCCTGTTTTCATATGAATATATTATTGTCAAGGGCAACGAGTTGCATACTATTTCTATCTGTGAGGCTGAGATAACACTCATCTACACTCAATGTCAATGTCAATGTCCAGTAGTTTTTCAGTGATAGAGAACAAAGCAGTCATAAGCAGTACAAGGCTGAGATAACACTCATGCAGAGTAAATCTGTCGGTTTCGTTACGTTTCCTGGAAAGAAAATTTGGTAAATAAAAAACTCAATCTGCGGTCATTTTTACTAAACATTGATATATAGTCACAAATTGTATACTTAAAGGCATAATAGGCCCATTCATTATGCGAAGCTTATAAATATTATACTTACTTTTATGTTGAACAACAAATTATGAACAAGTTATAGTGAAAACGCCTAAGACGACATGCACATGGATGAGCGGCAAATGAAAAGCTTCCCTCTCACCATCCCCCCATCTCTACCATCCCCCATGTAAGTCCCCAGTTGCTGCCACGTCCCAAATCTCTGCCCTCTGTTTGCCCTGCTAAAATTGTCGACTCTTCGCTGGCAGCTATAGATTCGTGCGCCGCCCTATGCATTCGGCGCACGGATCCATAGCTGCCAGCGCTGCATACTTTGCTACAACGTTCCCGCGGCCGCGTGCGCCTTCCCGCGGAACTGCGCGCAAGATCCGCGCTCCGCGGTTAGGATCAACATATCCTGTCAGGAACACTTCTCTCGTATCCCGTTTTATCTGGACCAGGTTAGTCATGCGAGTACACTGATCACCGGGCTTATATCACGCTCGGTCAGAATCATGTATCTGTACATGTACATGTATCTACGCACGGCAAGTCATGTACATATACTGTAAATGCATTATCCACACAGGTAATATGTATGTACATGAATATAAGTACATTTACAGGCTACATGTGTTTGTGTCTTGACATGATAAATAAGCATGAGAAATAACAAAAAACATCGAATATTTAACCACCGCACACACTATGTTTACATAATGGCGTCGCTCAACATGGGGCAGTGACGTCACATGACCTAGATTACTATTCAGTTATTTCTATTGTGTTTATTACTAATTGGGCGCCAGATTTGAAATTGAATACGTTATTGAATGTATTTCTATGTATAAAAACGTTACAGAAGTTATGAAATTTGACTTCAATTGTCAGGTAG